ATGCGCTGCAGCAAACACAGCCTTCTTCAGCAAGACTTTTCCAGACTTTTCAACAGCTTGCATCTTCCATCTATTTTTGGTTTTTCTCTTGCCCTGGTTTCCATAGTATCTGAATGCTTCCTCCTCTTAAATATATTGTGACACTTGCAACACCTTGGTGAAGTAGGAGGTACCAAGGCCCATGCTCTATAGAGGTGCTGGGGCTGTAACAGCTCAGGGTTGTGTGGAAGATATGGGGTGGAGCAGTGAATTGAAACTAAGGTTTCCTAAATGCTGAATTTGTAACTGCTGGATTGACCTTTCACTAGGGGTAGCAGGAGGAAAAAAAAAAGAAAATCTTTCTTCATAAAACTGTCTCTTAAAAAAAAATTGAAGGGCTCGGTGCTATAGCTGCTTGGATCAGGGGTGGAGATGTGTAGGCTTGATGACTGAGGCATTCTTTAGTCCTGTGTTCAGCCATTCTTTATTCAAGTTTATTCACATTTTTTTTTTCTCAAGTAAGTGAGAGAGTATGAGGATACTAGACTGTGTCCTGAAGCCAGGTTGCTCATGCTCTATTCCTGTGGAATATTTATAACTTAATGTCTTAATATAGTGTTCAGAGATTAAAGGTAATGGGAAGATGAAGTATTACAAAAAAGAAAGATATGAAAGAGAAGCAGATGGTGTGGATATGAACCCAAGATGCTAGGGATGCTCAGTCGTTTTGCTTTATTCCAGCCCTAGGGTACCCAGACTAAAGCATGTGACAACCAACCATCTCTGTGCACAGTGCATGTTCCATGAGTGTTTGGGGGGCAGAGGGAGAAGCCAGATCAAATCAGAAGAGTTTAATATCATTGCTGATTAAAACTAGGTCCAAACTGAACTTGATCAGCTCAGCTGAATATTGCATGGTTCTGATGGAGCTGATGGGTGGCATCCCCTTCATTGGGAAAGGAGGGCTAGGTTCCATTGTTTTCTGAATAGCTTTCAATCCTTGGAAGTGGTTTGCAAACAACCCAAACCTTTTGTGTAAAGGGCAACAAGGCTTTTTGGTTTTGTTTTTTGTTTTGTTTTAAATCCTCAAAGAACAGCTGCTCTTGATCAGAAAGATATCTGGAATCTTTGATGTTCATTTCCAATCTACCCATTGTTATAGACAACTTCTGGTCATAAAATCCACAGGCCTTAAAACTTAGTTAATTTTTGGTTTGTTGCAAAGTTAAAATATTAAAAATCCCCTAATATTAAATTTGTTGGGATAATAGATATCCAGTGAAAGGTAAACAGCAAGGTCTTGGTAAACAAGAGAGGATGAAAGCTTATACAAGTTGTATTCTTTTACACAGAGAGGGTGTTTTTCTCTTAAGATGTTAATCTGGCTGTTTTGGAACAGTTTTCTCTGCAGAACATTTTGTTCCAGACTAGAAGCAATCACATTACAAGAATGAACTTTTATCTTCTTGAGATACTATATTGTTGCTTAGATATTTTCTGCCAGGACTGTCTTAACTACCCCTTTGGCTCTTCTACCTGGGGAGGAAATAAGTAAGGGAAGGCAAATTGTTTTGAAGGAACCTTGAAAGATCCTCACACCCCCCCTCCTTTTTTTTTCTGGGCTGCTGTGAGGATTTCTTGCCTCAAGTGCCGTCTCCTAGGTGATGTGGAAATTCAGAGCTTCAGCTTGTATTTTCTCCATTCTTCGATGCCTTTAGGAGCTGGAAGGAAAGGGCAGGCACTCCTAATGCAAACTGTATCTTGCTGTTACTGCGTCCTTTGTTTGAGCCCTTCTCAAATTTGGGCCACTGAGCCAGACCTCTTCACCTTTTATCTTAAGCTGCCCATGTCTAAATCCAAACACTCATATGCCACAAGAAGCCAGGAAAGTATAGATGTGTTTACTTTAAACACCTTGGGTATTTTTACTAGCAAATGTCTTTCTGCAGAAGAGAAACTTCTTGGACACAATGTGCTTTTCTTTTAACAGTTCTGTTTTGAAGCAGTGTCTTGGGTTTAGGCAGAATCTATTCCTTCATCCTCTGGGAATCATGCATCTGAGCTCTGCTGTGCCCCTTCTAGCTGTCCCTTGCAGCCTCCTCAGTGACAGATGCAACGTTGTTTCTTCATCTGCAAAGGTGACCTGTCATTTCCCTTTTTCACTCTCTCTTGGTGCTATGACTATCTTTTAGCTACCCCTTAATCCTGTTACTGTGTTATATAATTCTGTGTCTGGCTCTTTAAACTCTTTCAAGGTGCTGATTGACAGCTGTTCTATTTTTCATTTACCAGCAGTATTTTCATGTCTGCTTTTCTCTACTGGAATTGGGGTGATTATAATATGTCTATTCATGGTCTCTAAAAGATACTGGATATATCTTTCCTTCTAAATAGACATTTTCTACCTGAGGCACTGGATCCCTTGAGCTGTAACATAAGCCTAGAGCAGCAGCTTGTGCAGCAGCAGCTGACACGAAAAGGCAGGCTACATGGAAAGGTGCTTGAAAACATTACTTGCCTAGCCATGATTCATCCAAGGTGAGGTTTGCTGCTGTTGTGATAAAGGTTTCTTGGTTTTAAGATTGCGTTATCTGTTTGCAGCTGTTAAAGATGAGAACAGCTTGACTTACAGGCTTTGCAGTTGATGCATCTATGGCTTCTGAATAGATGGCAGAACTCTGGCAGTCTCTGCTAGAGATGTAAACAGAAAGTTGGTCTGGTGTGGGGAGTTCTGTGGTTTTTAGGGTGAATTTTAAGAGTGATACCACCCTGAAACACAAAGCAGCTCCACAGCAAGAGTCTTGAGACACCTTGCAATGGCTCCTGGGTTCAGGCCAGGCTGCAAAAAGCTGAGGGCCTTGGAGTTTATTTCAGTGAAAGCCTGCATGCAAGCTCCAAGACCTTGCACCTGCTGGCTGTGAATAAGTTCTGGAAGCTCTCCACTCAGGTGGGGACAATAGCCAGGCCTGAAAAAAGAAAGGTGCAGAACTGTAGCTTGGAGAAGGGTTGAAATTCTCTGCTGAGCACAAGAAAGGAGAGGAGTGAATCCCACAGTGTTTTCCTACTGAGGGCCAGCACATACCTGTGGTTCTGCAGGGGCATCTGTCATTCGTGCTGTGACTTTAGCCTGGGAGCCAGGTGGGTGCTTGTACATGAACAATACTCTTGGTTCCTCCCTCTGCTCTGTAGGATTGGGACCCCTCTTCCTCCCCTGATAACTCACCCTCTTTTTTCTTAACCTTTCCTGCACAGATATCAACACTTAAACCTGCTGCAAGTATCTCCTGTTGCAGGGGCCTGGAGTCAGCCCTCTACCTTTCTGGGTAAAATCAAGTATAACAGACCTGGGTAGTATTTGATCCAGTGCCCTGGGAGGTGAGCTGTGTGAGCTAGTGTGTGGGGCACTGTGGGGAAAGGGCAGGGGCAGGAAGGAGGATGGAACTTGGGGAGCAGGCAAGAGGGCAGTCTACTGAATTGGGCTGCTGTGTGGGAGCTGTTGTTGCATTTGGGTATGCATGTTGAAGAGCAGGGTTTCCTCCTACATTCACTGTCTCCATCTATCTGCAGGGTCCAAGGGCAAGAGTGGTGGGAGATGGCAGAAAGCTCCCAGTGGAGAGACTAAGCAAGGGGAAGAGAGTCCGGGCTGTGCCTGCACCATTCCTTTGTAAAGCCTCAGGCCTGGTGTGTTTAGGAGAGTTGAGCAGCTGGCTCTGCCAAAGCTATCTCTGCAAACAATCCAGCAAACACACCCCTTCCCTTCTCCCAGCATGAGGGTGCAGAATTCTATTCATCTTCAGGGACACTGGGGCAGGATGACAAGTTCAAATGTATGGTGTGATGACGAGCTGCGCATGCTGCAGAGGAAATGCCCTGTGGGATATGCAGACGGTGTGTGGCCATGGGATGCAGAGGTGGGTTGGGCTGCATCCCTACAGCTGTGCTGCTGAGGGCAGCTGCTCCTTGAGGAGCGGGAGCTTTGGGTGTGCTGTGCTTCAGCATCACCCTGGCACAACGGAGGTGGAGCAGAGATGAGACAACCTGGGCCACCTGGACTGTGCTGCTCAGAGCACTGGCATCTCCTGCTGCCTCATGTTGTCTGTCAGAACTGGAGAAGCTGGTGGGAGAGCAAACTACTTCCTCACATGAGGAGTCAGATCTGACCCTAGTAGCAGTAATGGCTGCTTCCGTGTGGATATGCGACCAGCTTCTGTCAGTCTGAAAAGGACCTACCCAGAAATACCTCTGCCAAGCAACAGTTAGGAGGGAGCTGAGCCTCTCAAACGAAAGGGGCCTTTGCCCACAAGGGCCTGGGGCAGAGAGACCTGGCCAGGGCTGTAGACCTGGGGCCATGTATTGCTTCCCATCACAGCTAAGCCCCCTCCAGGACTGGTTCTTGTGGCTGTAGTCACCATCCTGTCGCAGTTTCTTCTCTTTGGGGGAGGGCTGTGTTAGGAAATTTTCTGCTTTAAATAATTTATTTTCCTCCAGACCCTGACACTGAGAAAAAGGGGCAAAACACTGATTTCTGATGTGGAAGTGCATGTTGTCTTGTTCATTCTTAGCAGCACAGGAGCAAGCTCTTATTTTGGAAGAAGCTCCAGTGCCTAATTTCCTGACAGCTGATAACAATTTGTCCTTCTGAGCTAAGTACCAGGTCCTGCAAATAATACCTCCCACTCCTGCTGAGCACAGGGGGTCTATTCCTGGGTGCTTAGAGCTGTCCCCCTCGCTCCCGGGGCCTCAGTGTTGCCGGAACTTGGGCCCTAAAAATGTGCCTTTTGCCCGACAAAGACAGGCGTTCTGTCTCCTCCTCGGCCCTCCGGGTGCGGTCGCAGCTGCCCCCCCCTCCTCGTCCGTGGCTGCGTGCGCCCCCGTACCTCCCCTCGCCGAGGGCCCCCCCCTCTCCCGGGGGTCCCCTTGCGCCTCCCGGGGGGGCCCCTCCCTCCCTTGAGCCCCGCGCAGCCACCGGCGGGCCCGCAGGGGGCGCTGCGGCGCGGCTCTTTGTGGCGCGGCGGCGGCGGCGGGGCCGTTCCCGGCGGCGGGGCCGTTCCCGGCGGCGGGGCCGTTCCCAGCCGCGCTGCCTCCCCCGTCCGCCCGCGCCGGGCGCGGGGCATGGCCAGACTCACCGAGGGCGAGGCGAGGAGGCAGCCGCCGCCGCTCCCGCCAGCGCCGCAACCGCCGCGCCCGCCGCGCCGAGCCTCCCCCATGAGCAGCAGCGGCGGCGCGGAGCCCCCCGCGCAGCCCGACAGCATGAAGGATCTGGATGCCATCAAGCTCTTCGTGGGGCAGATCCCGCGCAACCTGGAGGAGAAGGACCTCAAGCCGCTCTTCGAGCAGTTCGGCAAGATCTACGAGCTCACCGTGCTCAAGGACCGCTACACCGGCATGCACAAGGGTGAGCCCGGCCCCGCACGGCACGGCCCGCTCCCTGGGGCGCGCACAAAGGGCGGCGGGTCCCACCGTCCCCTGCCCACCCGGGGTCGGTCCATGCGTGACCCACTGCGACGTGCTGCTTCTGCAACCCCCCGGCGGGGTGCTCGCGCCCCCTGATCCGCTGCCCGGGAAGGGGTCTGCGTCGCGGGCGGGGGTCGGCACCGTGACCCGGGTGGGGTTCGGCGTCGCCGCACCGGCGCCCCACGGAGACCGGCCGTGTCCGCGCAGCCCTCCTGCGCGGGCCCCGGCACCCCGCTGGTAGCCCGGGGCCTTGCGCCCGTGCGTGGGGTGCTGTGACAAAGGCGTCGACGTGCAGAGTGGGGCAGGCTGAGGCTGCTGTGGCAGCCAGGGCTGAGACGGGAGCCCTCGGTGAGTGGCCAGCCATCCTCCCCGGCAGGGATACGGCGCTACAGTTTTAAAATCCATGTAACAAAGAATATCGGCCTCAAATCTAGTGTTGCCCGTGGCGTTTGGGATAGATGCGGGGCCTTTTTGATGATAGCGTGGGATAGATGAAAAAGGACCTTTGGTGGATGCAAAAAAGTTTGAGGAGGCTTGTTTAGCTGCACTTACTGTTGTATTTGAAAGCTGTATTTTGAAAAGCAGTCATATTCAGGATGTCAGCTCTCTTCTGTCGAGCGGTTCTAGCCCACCTCCAGGTGTTTGAGGTCTTGTGATCACCACAGCTTCAGCCATGAATGGGAATTCACAGAGCTGTTTGCTATGAGATCTCAGAGAGTGATCGCAGCACCACTCCCTGGCACACACAGAGCAAGCCTGCAGGGAACCTACAGTAAGTACCTTGAAAGCTGTCAGTGCTCAGTCTGGGCCTCTGTGATCTAAAACGGTTCCTGGTGGAGTCATGTCTCGGTTCACACTGGAAGGAACGTGAGTTGCATTCAGTTCTGAAGCCTCTGATTTCAGATTTAGGAGGAAGGGTAAGAAAACATTTGAGTAGTGTGGCAACTTAAACCGTTCTAGACTGAACAGAGAGGGAAGGGGACAACAGAAAAATAAGTTTATTTTCAAACAAAAGGCCAAATCTAACCCCAACACAAAAGGAAGACACTTCTTCATTGAAGCCTATGGGAGCTGGACTGGCTTGAATTTAGCTGAAGAAGTGTGTCTGGTTGGGACTTCAGAACCAAAATGCCATGTGCCTGTGTGGCTCTGTGTGCAAGGGACCGAGTCCAAACCTACTACCATCTGACAGTGAGTTGCCAAGGTTTCAAACGCAGTGAGAAGGAGAATGGGCCTGAGGCAAGAGGCAATTGCACATTTCATTTCAGTTGACATATTAAGTATAGACTATGTGGTCTGAGGACAGATTCTAGGGATCTGCCACTTAGATATGGAAATTAGAGGGGGCAGCACTGGTATTAGCCAGATCTGTGTGACATCAGCTTGCTGATAAATGCAGGATTCCAGCAGCAAAATAAATATATCCCTCTGTTTTTGATATTTTTGAGCGGATGCAGGTGCTGGTCAGGGGTTGTTGGTGCTCTGTTCTGTCCTGAATAGGCTGTTGAGATGTGTAGGGTCTTGTGGTGGCGATTGTACAGTCATTTCCACACACCTTCAGTTTCCTCTGTCAATCCCCCCTTCCCTGTCCCTCCCCTCTGTTTTGTACAAAGCAAAAGATTGGGATTCCTTTCCTGGTGGCATGGGTTTATATGTAGACCCTCAGCCTGGTTTGGGAATAGGCAGTATACCTCTCCAAAGAAGTCATTCCTCCACAAGGATGTGGTGGGGATTTAGGCTGCATGCAAGAAGGCCAACCTGGCAAGGAACCACTGCTACCATTAGCATCAGCAGATCTGGAGGGTGCCAGACCTGACCCAGAAGGTGCAGCGGCCTCAAGCACTATCACAGGAACCGGCCAGGGCTTCACAGCCCCTCATTCCTGCACCATACAGAAGCCATAATCTTTCTGGGGCAGTTGTAACAGCAGATTCAGTTTTCTCTCCCCATGGTCCCTGATCTGCCACGAGATCCGATTGACAGCTCACATGCAGCTTCCATCTGCTTTTTCCCTTTTTTTCTCTAAATGGGGAGAAGCAGTTGTGTGAGAAGCCAGCACTGCTGGTAAAGCCCAGCAGCTCCTCTTACAATTCCTTGCAGCTTGACATGGAGCTGAGCAGTTGCCTCTGCCCTCAAGGAGGAAGGAAGGGTAGAAAAGGCCTGGCAGGGACAGAAGGGTGTGAATTGGGCTGCAGAATCCAAGAGCCCAAGAGCTAGCTAGGACCATCCTGTACAGTTGCTGAGAACTGATGAATTCAGTGGAGGTGGCGGATCTTACAGGCCTGCTAGAAACATGAGCACCCTTACAAAATGGTTTTGTTAGTGCCTGACTATTTATGTCTCAGAAATCTGACTACTGGTAGTTGATACTGTTCCAGCCTCCTAATATTATTCATTAGGCAGTTTTTCTATTTATGTTAATCACAGATACATTTGCATGCTAATAGCAGTGTTTGTCTTAAAGCTAATATTTTCATGGGAAGAGCAGAGAGGCGTTTGAACAGGCTTTTGGAATGGATCAGGAGAGACCGAGCAGGTACAATCAAGTGGAAATTTTTGGCCTTGTGTTCCAGGATTGGGCAGAAGGCAATTCTTCCATGACTGTCAACTCTGCAGGCAAATTGCAGGGACAGGAGCAGCCCTCTCACAGGGTGTGTGGAGAAGTGTACATTGTGTGGACAGATTGGGTGGCTTTTCCAAAGGTCAAGGAGGCAATAACAACATCAGCCTAACTTACCTCACTGGCAGCTGAGTTTTGACTCAGCTTCTGCAGGCTTGTAGATAAGCTCCCTGCTGACTCCATGCTTCCCCTGCTGAAGTATTTGATGTGATTTCTAATGCTAAGCTGAATCTAGAAGCCGCTTTCTTCTGCAGACTGACAGCCTTTTCTTGCTCAGGGCTTTAGACTGCTGATGTCTGGAGTAATGCTTAAGATCTGAAGGGACTGTAAATCCCAGAGTCAGTGTGTGGCTTGTAGGGATGATCAGGCACAGAATATTTTTTTTTTTTTTTTTTTTTTGCTGCAGTCTCTTGTAAGTGGAACTAGTCTGGGTTCTGCTTACAGGGAGCTAGAAACCTTCCTGGAATCAGTGGGAGTAGGGTGGTGTCACCCAACACCGAGGGGACATACAGATTCTTTTAGGGATCCTTGTCAGAATGATGATGACGCTAAGTCATAGTTACACTTAGAGCTTTATTTTCTTAACAGAATTTTAGTATAGCACAGAATTTATGATTAGAATGTCACAGAATTTCTACAAGCAGAATCACTGTAGTACAGTCTATAAGTAGTATAATACAGAGTTTATAATGTAATACAACTTAACTTATGATTTCACCTTGAACCCTTGCAGATCGGGTCAGATTTTAATACATGGTTTGTTGTATCAATATAACAATCATAATCCAGACTCAAAAAAATCATACAGAAGAGGAGTCACTCAGTCCTCAGAGGAAGCAGATGATGGTGGGGTGTCCGGGGTCATGGCTCTCGCTGTCCAGCAGCAGCTCCGGTCCAAGTTCCCCCATTTACGACTTGTAATGGCTTGATTTTGTAGACAGTGCTCTGGGTGCTGTTATGCTTCCCTGTTCTGTGACTGGATCATCAACACCACCTGGTTGGCCAGGTGCTTGGGACCTTCAAGGGCAGCACTTTTTAACACCATGTCTCAGCAGGCATAACTGACTTGGTGTTAGAAGTGCCTAAAAGGGCATAAGCGTGTCGACCTGAGTTTGCTGTTAACTAAAGCAGGAAATGTGAAAGTGAGAAAAAGTAGTGAGAGTGATGGGTCCCTTTGCACCTTTGTGGACATCTCTGCACTGTTGAGTGGATCCCTGGGTGACTGTCAGGCTCAAAGTTTTAGCAGCCTGAAAAACCCATGAAAGACATGGTAAGCAGGGTCCTGTCACAGCATGGAAGCCCTTCCTAGCTGGGAAAATGTGGCTTTCCATGACCCACTGGTATTTCTGTAAGCTTCAGGCACCTGGGTGAAGGCAGGGGACAAAGGAAGGCTGTGGAAAATGCCTGGTGCTTCACTTGCTGCATCCTGAGGAGCAGCTGAAGAGTTAGTTTACAAGAAATAATGTCTCTTTAGGAAGGAAGATTCTTTTTCCCAAATAACTTTTTACACAATTAGGCTTAGAGTGTAGTGTTTCTGCAAAGCCCTTTTCTGTATTTCTGACCAAGACACTGCAGAGAGAATAGAATTGACTCCTGCATCCTACCTCCAAAACATCTGTCTGTGGAGGACTGTAATCATGTTTTCTAAAGGAAGTAGCTGACCGCTTTAGCTCCCTACTTTCCGTAGCCAGTACAGCCTCTCAGATTCCTGCCATTTGGGAAGCAGAAATTAGATGAAATGAATGAGCTGAATGTCCTGAAAGCTTAGAGACGTGGAGAGCTCAGGGATGGAGCAGGGGACAGGGCTGTCTTGCACCCACAGGCTTTCTTGTCCTAGTCCAGCCTAGACACAGCCTGTTGTTAGAGGCTGCCCAAGTGCTGTTTCAAGCTACAGTGAAGGAAGGGAGTACAAGCTGGCTACTGTTGAGCAAATATCCATATACTTGAAAAGCAGACCAGCAGCAAGGATTGCCATGGGAGTGAAGCAGGAAGTTTGAGTGAGGCGTCTTCAGGTTCCATGGCTGCAGGATACTTCTGTCTTCAGAGGCTGCTACCCGTTGGTACAGATACCTGAGCACCTGAAAGATAAATGGTATTTTGGGCTGCCTTTGCTGTAAGGAAGAGAAGGACCAGAGGGCTCTAGGGTGGAGATTCATGGCACTTTTTTGGGTTGGAGCTGTTGAATGTAGGTGTTGCTGGGCTTTACAAATCCCTGATCTGGAATGATAACAGTACCTTGCAAAATAACTCTTTATCCCTGTGTGAGGAGTGTCTCTCATGTATCCCCACTAAATGGTACACCTTTGTCCAATCCTCATTTTATTATTGTTCTCCCATGGGCTGAGGTTTTTGAGACTGTCACTGTGAATTACCTCAGTTTTGATGTTCCTGAGCACTAGAATTGTGACTCAGCGGACTGGGTTTGAGTGTTTAATTCAGCAGGTAGTTTCATGTAGACTTACTCCTCTCCTAGTCTTAGTTTTCTTAGGTTTGATGGCTAATTCTTCTGAGGCAAGGATGGTGTCTTCATTGCATGCGGACTTGGTACCAATGCATTGAAGCTCTCAGTGGAATAATGTCCTTATTCCCAACTCCTGACTTCAGAGTTTTGTGTGCTAAACTTGACTCCAATTCTCTTAGAATAGATCCTGTGTGACTTGCAAAGTAGCAAACTGGAGCAGCAGGTGGAATCAGGCAAGCATCTGTCTTTGGGACTTTGGTGACCAGGCCTCTAAATCTGTTAGAAATAGGGTTTAGGGTCTCTGGTTATACAGGTGCTTTTGGGGCTTTTCCTGATGCTTGACATCACAGCATCTGTGAGGGGAGAGCGAAAGCAAAGAGGTGCTTCCTCCCACCCACCCAGTAGAGCTAGTTGCTTTTGCCGTGAGAAGTGAAGGTTACCTGCATGCTTACTGGCCTCACTGCATTTGTTAAATTATTTGGTGATCCCCATCTGGCCTTGGTACAGCATTCTCAGTTCAAAACCTGGGCAATAAGGAGCTTTAATTACCTGTTAGAGATATCTAATACTTGTGTGCTGTTTGTGGAGAGTTTTTTTCCCCTAGCAAGAGCTGTAAGAACAGATGTGATTTGCCTAGCTGCAGCGACTTACTGGAGTTAGGATGGAAGGACAGCATAATGCCATGAGTTGGGATTGTCCTGAGCAGCTGGCTTCTGCATGACCTAAAAGTGTTGTGTACCATGCAGTCACTTTGGGATGGAGGGGAGAAACCCAGACAGTCCCTGTCCTGTATCCACCTTTGGATCCATGGAGAGCTGAAGTGGCTTTGGAGTACCCAAAGCCAGGCACAAGAAGGTGGGGACAAAAGAAAGGGCCTCTGTTTGTGCCATAACAATGCATCTGCAGCCCCAGCACAGTAATATAGACATGGACATTTAGCAACAAGCTGAAGGGACATGTCCTCCCTTTGCTTAGGATGTGAAATGCCACTGCAAATAGGAGGGGGATACCTGAGGGAGTCAGATGCATTCTGATGTTTCAGTTTCTTCTCCAGTGCTTTGCCTATCCTCATCTGAAACAACTCAAGTGATGGAGCTCCAGGCACTTCCCTGGGAAGATCATTCCACAGTCTACTAAATCTCTTTCTGCTAGGAAATGCTTATTGATAACCAGCCAAATTTTTCCTTTGCTTAGTTTCATTTGATTATTCTTAGTATCAGAGCACCCAGAGATGATCCCTCTTTTTCCTGGAAGGGCTACAATTCCTCCCTTGGCTTCAGTGTTAGGCCAAGACGTTGAGTCAAATCTTGACTAAGAATGTCAGGATCTGGCCCTTTCTGTGTTCTTTCTATCTTGCTTCTAAGTTGGCTCTCACAGAATGTATTATGCTTCGCTGTTCTCTGTATTTCCCTTGTCATGCATATGTATATTTGTTTGTGTTGTGTACATTGTATGGATGTATGTATGGCACAGAAAGCTAGGCCTCTCCTGTAGCTTTCCATGATTCCATGAATCTGGATCATGGAGCTTTCATATGAGCCTAAACTCCCAGATGCTTTTCCTCTTTTCTTGTGTGTGTGTGTGTTTTTTTTTTTTTTTTTTCCTTTTTAAATCAGTAATCATACTGGTCCTTGCATCTCCTCTGATCCTTCTGTTTTGGGCTGTTTCTCCCACAGGCAAGTTAGCTTGCATTTTGCTTTCCTGTTGTTTCTCACCTTGTTCAACACCTGTTTCAAACCTAGTTGATTCACTAGGGCCCTTTTCCATGAGTTCAAGAGACCTTGGATGGGGCCTGCAAGTCCTTTAATGTTGTTTCTTTGTCTTTTTCACTAGAGTCTTCAACACATCCAAATTACATAACATTTGCACCTTTAATTAGCAAGCCTTTCTCTCTGCCCTCCCTCCCCACCCCCTGCCCTGTAAAAAAAGTCAGGTCTCACACAAGGGCTGTTCTTTCTTCTGTACCTCAGCAGAAATGTTGGGATGGAGGTTTGATGAAACAGGGCAGCATTTGTAGTTCTTGTCCTACACTCACCTGCTGTGTCCAAAGAGGAACATTGTGTTGATGTGCATCTGCAACTGCATGTCTTAACTTGACACTTGCTGTATCCACTGCAGGTTGTGCGTTCCTCACATACTGTGCCAGAGATTCTGCCATCAAAGCCCAGACAGCACTGCACGAACAGAAGACTTTGCCAGGGGTAAGTCCCAGTGAATTGTGCCTGGAGCTCATGCCATGGGCAAGCAAATGGGGTATTGTCAGTAGAGGCAGTGAGGGTGAGAAGTGGCTTAGATTAATTTTCCTCCTTGTGAAAGAGAAATGTGGTTTGGTTACAACAGGGGTGTGTGAGCCAAAGCACAGTGCTGTTCTTCACAGAGCTGCTGCTCTTTTCTCCACTTTGCCAAGGCTGCCCCATGTAACTCCAGCCAAGCCTATTTCTGTGCTCCTCTTTGGTCTCTGTGGTGTGACATGACATCTTCAGCTATCTGTCCCTATTACTAGGGAGCTGTGGGCTTTTGGGTGAAGTGTGTGGGGTCAGCATCCACTCCTAGTCTGCCGTTGACTTCCAGAGTGTCTGGACAATTTGTTGCGTGGGTCTGTGCAGGACCCAAAATGACTTCTAGTGCAGTGGCTGAGTTGGATCAGCTTCTCAGAAAAAAACCCAAGCCCATTTGCTGCATCCCATTGTTTAGAAGGGAAATGGGTTATATAGGTGAGACTAAAACTGCTGAACTAGCTATGGGTCTGTTCCTGGGTCCTGCTCTCTCCACAGCTGGTATTGGGAACAAAGTGCAGTAGAGACCTCAGGAGGCTAGGCATTGTGGAACAGGTCCCTCCTTGCAGGGAAGTCCTCTGCCTCCCTGGGACCTGCTGATGAGCTGAAAGGAGTTCTGAATTGTTGCCACTCCCATTTTGGTATGATTTGAGAGCTTTGACTGGGCAGTTCCCTTGCTGTGCGGAGGGGTTGTCTCACATGTTGGAAGGATTTGTTTGTAGGTGAGTAGGTGGAGGAGCTGAGTACTTATAGACAGAAGCTCACAGGAGGCCCTGAGTGCTCCAGGCAACAGAATAATTAATGTAAACCAAGGATCTCTGGAGAGGTGTTAGGAATTCTTAACCATAACATTTCCTCTTTAACCCATACAGGTCCAAATAGCTTCCCTCACCTCTCAGCTCCCCTCAAGACCTCTACATGCACGCATCCTTTTCCATATTTATTTACTTGTGCTCCCTTTTTGTATGGGCCTGTGTTGGCATTTGAGGGCTGAAAAATGCATGTAACAATTACCACTTAATATGATCTTTACTGTTTCAGGTTCTCTCAGGGCAGCAAGGGGTAAGAGTGCAGATAACCAGGTGCTCAAATACTGTTTTAGTTAATTTTGTGTGAAGGGAAAAGGTCAGCCTTTCAGGCTAAAGCAATGTAATCTGTGTGTGTTGGTCCAGGGCAGAATTGACAGAGTTTGTAAGAAAAAGTCAAAGGATGGAGAAGCAGTTGTGATGAGTCATGGTACAGTACTGTAACACAGTGGAGAAGACAGACATGTCTCTACCTAGTACCTGCAGGGGGACTCTGAGAGGTTATTCATTTGAGGCTTGGTGGATTCAAGGCAATCTCAATTTTGCCGCAGTTCTACACTGGGAATTTGTTGCATGCTTCACTATGTTCTCTACTGATTGTGCTCTCGGTGGTTATAGAGTGCTGAATGTAGTATTTAAAGCAGCAATTTATCTGTGGTGTAGTGATTTAAAGGCTTTTTATGTTAAGGGAGGTGTAAGAAATTGCTTGGGAACAGTAAGAAATCTGTGCTAGCTGAATACTTTCAAACATGTTTGTCTGGAGACAGTTAATGAGCAATGTGGTGTAATTAAGCTTCAGGATTAAGATAAAGATGAGCTCTGCTGCATTTGGAACTGTATGTTTTCAGACTGGCAATACACCACTTCATCACATTTAGTTTCTTTTTTGGAAAGTCCCTCAATGACCAAGATGGTGTGATTCTCTCTCCTTGGTCATTTTGGTGGTCATTTAGAGATGGTTACTACCAGAACAGAACAGACCTCCATCCCAATGTGCATAGAGTTGGTATTGGCATGGATGTGTGCTGAGTGGCCTGAGGTAGCTTTCAGCCCCATTTTCTTAGCCTGATTTGCTTGTGTCTGTATAGTATTACCCAGCCCACTGACCCAACTGATCACAGAGAATACTCTGGAAATGAGTATCAGGCAGGAATGCTAGGTAACTGATTGTTTCCCTATTTTGGGAGCAAGGCCGTGAAATTTCATCTCTGTGCATTCACATCTAGATCATCTTCTGATGAACTCTGTGGCAAAGCCTCTCACCAGAAATATAATGAAGACCCTAGCGTAGGACAGAACAGAATGTACTAGACCACGCTGCTGGGATTTCAGTAAATGGGCCATAGTCTGGTAAACAAGCAATTTTTTTTTGTTGTTGTTGTTCATTTTACACATTTACTATCTCTTTATTGCACATAGCAGTAGCAGGAAGACATTTTAAGAGTGTATGTCATCAGTGGAGGGTGACGCAAACTGACATCCATATGCATGAGCAAGCATCAGCATGTTTAGAGACAGCAAGGGATCAAACTGGCATGGAAAGGATTTAGTTGGTAATCCTACACTTGACATTGTATTGCAAAGCAACCACAGATGCCACAAGTACCCAAGTACCTTCCTTTGTTGGTCTCGGTGCAGAGACTAGTGGTTGATCTCAACAGTTCATAAACCTGAATAGAGGCAAATGGATTTCTTAGTCTAGTCTGAGAGTTTGGTAAGGACAGACTTAAGGAAAAGCTTTGATACAATTTCTGATAGGTCCTTAGGCTGTGATCAGGCAGCTGGAGCAGCGCTACTGGGTAGGTGTGTGTCCACAGAGGTATTACTTAGGCCCTTCGGGTCTGACGCTAGTGATGTCAGCCCATCTCAGAATGCTGCCACGTTGTTCCTGCAAGGCCATACCTGCAGTGTAGCTTTCCTGAGGTTTTATATTTATATTGTAGGTTTTCCACCTAAGTCAATAGGAATCACCATAGTCTCTGTTTGGTTTTATGGCATTTCTGGCAAGTTCTCTTTTTGGAAGACTAAAATTCCTGTTTATTTTTAGATTGAGAGCTGTTGGATGTATGGTAGCTAAATAGAATTTAAACTCAGAAAAGCTTATTTTTTTGTCAGTAAGGCTTAGCATCTTTTTCTGGAGGTAGACAGATTTTTGGCTTTCACACCCTTTTCTAAGGGCTCGTGTGCTCAGGGTGTAAAGAAAGAAGACTGTCAGCTGTATATTGTATTATCTAAAAAGCTTACCAGCTTTCAGAGCTGATGAATTGCTATCAGTGCAGTTGGGAAGTAACAAATGCATGAGTCTTCCTTTGGGGGAGGAAGGATGGAGCTTGCTAGAACAGAGAGGTAAAGTGCATTCTCAGTGAATTAGCAGAAGTGTCTGATCACCCAGGCTTGCTAAGGGCTTAAAAGGATGCCAAATGTGTACGTCCTTGCTGTCATCCGGGGTGGGCAGGAAGAATACCCTGCCTTGTGGCTGTGTGGGTACGGAGCCTGTTTCCACACATTGTGGTGTGGGCCTACAGATGTGGACCACAACCTGTGAACCTCAGCACAGCCAGAGCGCTGGCACACAGTAAGACAGGTTTGCCCATCACCCTGATCTGTATACATAACAAGCAGGAAGCATATCACACCTTGCTGACAGTGGCACATGCTGTGTGGTATGTAGACAGTGCCAGCATCGTGGCCAGCTCTCTGCCCAGCACCACCTCCTAGCCAGCCTGACACACTCCTACTCTGTGCTCTGCACAGTACTTTTTGTGTCCTGCATGTGCAAAGATCCATGTTCCCCAGTTTTGCTCCCTGAAGAAAGGCTGGGGAGCTGCACAGTTACGTCCAACTCAGTCCCAGTGAAGCAGTTTGATGGGCTCCAAAGACTCAACAGAGATGGAGACAGATCTGCCTGAGGAACAAAATAGAAACCAGCTCCCTTTGTGGCCTGAGTCCACAGGGCTTGGGGAAAGGCACACAACCCATGGAGGCTGAACAGAGGCAAAATCTTTGGCTATGAAAAGCAGAGAGGGAATCAAGTCCTTACACTTGTTTCTGAATCTAGTGTCCTCTTTCGTTGCCAGCCAGCCTAGCAGTGCAGCGTTTCACCTTCTCCCTGCTCCCTGGCACATTCCTCCCTGGCTCAGTGAAACAGTATTATATCTCAATAACCCATGCCTTTGATTCGTGATTGTGCCTTCACTTTGCTGAGTTCTGAAAGGAATTGGAGAGGTTATTAATGACACGCAGTGATCACACACCAAGTTAAAGCCTCTCGCTAAGTGAAATTTGAGGGAAAAGCAGCCAGCTTTTCAATATTTCGCAGAAACGCTTTGTGTCTCTTTTCATTTGCAGCCAGACAGTTGCAAATTACATAAAATTGCTCCTGAAGAAGAAGGGGAAGAAGAATAGAGGGAGGAAGTGAAGGGGGGAGGTTTAAAAAAGTAATTCTTCTGGCAAGGTACAGTTACAGTTTTATTTCTATGCAGAACAAAGAAGGGCTTGCTGAAAGATAGGCAAGTAAGTGGCAGAAATTGGTATTGATCCAAGCTGGGAATATGGGCAGTTTAAGAGCAGTGATGGGGGTACTGAAATGTGGCTACATCAGGGGGAGAACTCATGGATGCAGTGGGAACGCAGGGACACAGGAATGGAAAATTACAGAGAGCAGCAGCATTAGAGCAGAGAGAGACTCTGGGAACGCACCAGGGGTTGAGATGCTGCAGCACTAACTCAGATGGTTGGGCACAAGGATTAATGCAGAGACCCAGCAGAGCCTGAGCAGAGGGCATCCCTGTAGGCAAGCTGTCTCCTGTGCTTCCAGGAGCAAGGGCTCACCATGGGCCATCTGTCAGGGTCCACAGCCCATGATGATATAAGGGAACGCAGATGACTGGAAGGGTTTTGGTAGAGGTCAAAGCATCTCATTCTCCCCTCTCTTTTGTACAAGTACTGGTGTGAAGCCAGCCCGGACCAGTATTTCTGAGTTTCTTCATGTGAACATTACAGGATATTGCAGCTGGCAAAGCTGGGAGAACACTCTGGTGAGTGGAGTAGGGGGCATGAACATTTGGTTGGGGGCTGAAGCTAGACTCCAGTCGTTGATCTCTGAGGTGGCCTCTGCAG